AGCCACAGCCCAGCCCTGAGGGCTAGTAAAAGGCAAGCGCCACAGGCCACATCCTGGCTGCTAACCGGGTGATGGTTTAACTGGAACCCCTCACTTAGCAATCTCTCTGTCAACACAACTGAGTCTTGACTCTCCTACACACTGGCCTCAATGCACAGCGTTTCCCAGAATGCAGAGCCTTTGACCAAAAAACCCCTCTATCTTTGGTTCCAGCCCCTTCCTGTTTTCTCTGTTCTCTGCTGCCTCTCACCAGCTCAGGATCATTTCACCCTCCACTACCAAGCACAGCCTACTGTTTGAAGCTAAGTAAAAACGATTTTGAACTTCAACTCCAACACATTTCCGAGTCCTGTAGCTTTAAACTGGGAGACTGCACTGGGCTGGTGTTCACCAAACATTAGTTCCTTTTTCATTGACCTACCAGCAAGGTCAGAACTAGGGTGAGGCCACCAAGGTGCCCAGGGCAACAAATTTAAGGGGACACCAGCCTTGAGGTCGTGCAAGTACAGGGTCAGCACCTGAGAGTGATGCCTCCTTAAATTTTGTACCCTAAAAACCTCTCGGGCCTCGCCCTAGTCCTGGCCATGCCTCCCAGCTATAAGGTCCCTCATCCCTCCCGAACCAAACGTTAAATACTTCGGGGCTCTTTCTGAATCACGTGCAGCACAAAGGTTTTCCTGAACGTCTGGCTCCCCAGGTGGATGCTGCAGGTGTAGCTTCCTCGGTCAGATTCCTTCACTCCCTGGAGCACGATGGAGCCGTCATTGTGAGCAAGGTCCCCCACCAGGGCTACACGGTTCCGGAAGCGGCCCCAGATCTGGGAGGACCCCTCAGGGACGCCGAGTTTGAGGTAATAGCGCAACATCACCTCCTAGAAGGGAAAGGGGAAATGTCCGAGACTGCAAGGTGGGGTGGGGCCGGGCGAGGTTGAGGGCCTGGATGTGCAGGCCGCACAGGCGTCATCAGAAAGTACCAGACGGCACGACAGTGTGAACACGCGTGTGCAGGCGTGTGCAGCGGTGGAGGATGCCACCAAATTAAGAACAACTGTTCCATCTGAAGAGGGGCGAGGAAGTGGGAACGAGGGCTTTTCTCTCCTCAGCCTTCCCCAGAAGAAAGACGTCAAAGTGCACCTTTACTCTGACATTTCCAACTGGATTTTCAACAGGAAACTGAACATGACTAAAACTGAACTCCACGTTTCCCCCCAAACCAGCCCTTTCTAGCCCATCCCACTTGGTAAAGGGCAATGCCTTCTTCCAATGCTTGGGCTAAATATCTTGGGGTCGTCCTTAACTCCTCTCTTTCTTGAGCAACTCACATCTAAAATCCCTCAGCAATCCTATCACGTCTCCCTTCAAAATATATCTCAAATCTAGCCACTTCTCACCTCCTCCACAGTTGCCACTTGGGTCCAAGCCCCATCTCTCACCTGGATCCCTGCAAGGAGCTTCCTTACGTGTCACCCAAGTACAGTCTGTTCCCAGAAGATGCATCATTAGGAGTATAAGTTAAGTCATGTTACTCCTCTGCTTAAGCCCTCCAATAGCACCTCCATTTCTCCTAAGGGACAGCCCCTTTCCTCTCCAATGTCACCTTCTACTTGTTCTTCTTTCACCTACTTGGGTCACCTCACTCCAGCCACACGGACCTTCTTGCTGACCCTGGAGTACTGGCCTCAGGGCCTTTGCACTTGCTGCTCTTTATACCTGGAACACTCTTCCCCCCAGACACACACAGGGCTGGTTCCCTCGCTTCCTTCACGCCTCTGCTCTGATGTGCCCGTGTCAGTGCGCTCCCCGGCCACCTTCATAAAGCAGCAGCAAGGTTCTGCCTTCTTGCTCTTACTATGACCTAACATATTCTGTATTTATTTCCCCATCATTTTACTGTATATCTCCCTCCATCTAGTTTGTAAGTCCCCCACCAGGGCAGGGGCTTTCACTGCATAGCAGACACTTTAAAAAACTTATTAAATGAGTAAGTGTTGGAGTTTTTTAATTAAGGTATGTAAATATATTTTTTAAAGCTTTTAAGGAAGGGGAATGGGTGTACAGACACAAAGATGAATACAAAGACCTATCCTCTAACCTCTTGTCTCTTGTGGTTCAAATTCACAGATCAAAATGTAATTCTCACCTACTTTCTGCTGTGACTCACCCGGTGGATGACATTTAAATGCATGACAAGCTCCAGAGGTGAGCCTGAGATGACACATAATTCTCCATAACCCACCATGTTGTCCCCATTTCTGACCCATGCAGACAGCATATAGGAATCAAGTGAATTCAAGTGACTTTTTATAAGGATGATCTAAAATATGTCTTAATTTATAAAAGCTAAAACTTTTATAAACTTCCCACCTTAACATTCACTAACAAACAGTAAGTTATTTGGGATGTCCCAACGACAGCTTAATCCATAAGTACATGCCCACGCCGGAGTGGGCATCCCTGGTCCAGTGAACTAACCCGCTGCTCGCTGCTTCGGAGTTCTCATGAAATGCTCCTCACCCTGGTCTACAAATCCCAACACCTGAAGCACCTGCAACAGAGGAAGTTCCCTCCACCACATAAATGGGGCAAGGGAGCATGAAGAAAACTCACAAAAGTGGCCTAAATAAGAGTAAAGATGTAATTTTTCTTCTGTCTAGCCCACAGCTTTCCTGGCAAGGCCACAAAAATCGCCCCTCACTCTCCCATGAGCTCTACAAAGAAAGAAGGGAGAGGAGGGAAGAAACTAAAATGCAGGGGCCAAGTCATGCACAAATGCTTCACCTGGACGTCCCGGCATACGCGTCTCCACTGCCACAAGTTCGGCATCTCCTCCTCATCTTCATCTTCATTAGAGTTACTTTCCCCACCAGAAAGCTGAAGTTGCCCAGCCAAGTGTCCCAGCAATGCCACCATGTGGCACCTGACGCCTAGATTCTCCCACTGTCCTGACCCCCATGGTGATGGTCTCTCTGCATTACCTTGGCGTGCTCCCCTGATGAGAACATCCAGTCGACCTTGGTCATGAGCTTCTCTTCTGTGCTCTGCAAAACACATCTCATCGGAGTTGAATCACCCGCATGGACCATGAGCTCTGGGGATAAAATTATAAACCCAAGATATAATCTACGGAAGCCAAAGAACTTCTGGAAGAGATCATGTTTAGCCAAAGATCCTGAAGAGTAAAATCAATTTTACCAACAAATACTCCACACATCCTCTCCACAGATGCCCCAGATGATCCCGTATGGACAACGAATTCAGAAGCCCCTCCCTCAAACCACATGGTGCTTCCAGGGTAAGAGTTCCCTCCAGCCACCCACATACATCAAGTCCTGGGGTCCTGCTGTCTTTATACGACAATAAACGCTTGCTGACTTTCTTTTATTCCCTTCTCCCTCCCCTCTGCAGAAATTTTCCCATGAGCCCCAATTCCACTTCAAGTTTATACTAAAGAAAGTCCAGAAAATCTTGAAGCCCACCACTTTCCCTCCACCTACAAAGATACCTCCATCTGCTGAACATAAACAGGACATGGGAAGTTGTATAATTCTCATTCTTATATATACACATACATATTACCCACTGGATCTCTTGGCTGAAGAAGTGAGTCACGGGGGACTTCCCTCAGCTTCCTTTACTCTTTTTACAACTTGTCTTAGGACTTGCTTAGGACAGTTCTGGCTATAGAGCAGGTCACAGGACTCCTTGCTAATTAGGCCGGGACAATGGACAGTTTTTCCTCTGAATTTTGTTTCTGTTTCCATCCCTGCCCCACTCATCCCCCGGCCGCCTTTCCCCCGCCTCCGTTTTCCAAGTCCTAGGCCCTCCTTCTGGTTATTTTGCCAGAAGCTGACCCCACCATTGCTTAGTGTATATGAGGTCCTTGAAAAAGACAACTAAAAGGTGTTTCTGATTTTTTTTAGTGATGCTCTACACAAATCAACCACAAAGCCAATTAAGAAATGAAAGGTAGGGAGGTGTTTAGGGAGACATGGGCCTAGGTCTTAATGGAACAAAGTCCCTTCAAAAGAGCATTAAGCGAAGTTCATGAAGGAACAGGTCATAAGCCAACCTTTTCTCCGACTGTTTCCCTGGGAGAACATTAACTTCCTGCCCAGCAGGAAAATGCATAATGGGAGGAAAGCAAAAGAAAATATTACGAACTCAAAACTCTAGAGAGAGAACTATTTTGAAAGTAATAAAAGTTTACTCCAAAAGAGCAGGAAACACCCTTGAATCCCAGCAACACATTAAAACCTGAACTCCATGTTCTAAATGCAACAGTAATAACTAAACCTCTGCGCCCTTTCCACATAGCAGGCATGTGCTAGACGCCTGTGCGGAGCATGTCAGCTACTCATTACAGCACTGAGATATCCACTATCACCCTCCCATTTTACAGAGGATGAAAGTGAGAGACCAAAGCCATATGACCAGTAAGACACAGGGCAGCACCCGAACCTGGCCTGTGTGCAAACAAGCCCCAGCTTTCTCGCTCACCCCACTCCACCACCTTCAGAGCGGGAGCATAGCTGAGCCCAGAGCAACAGTACAGGAAGCTAGTATTATTTTTATTTGTAAGAACATTGTCTACAGTATTTAAATAAGAACTATGGAAAAACGAATCAGGGTGACTTGGTAGAGAAAATTAGAGAGCACTGCACAAGTGGAGTTTTCACACGGGGGAGACCACCTCCCCCAGGCAGGGTGGACAGCTGTGCACTGGCCACACCAACTGCTAGGGGCTGGATCTTTTCCCACTTTGGCTGGAGAAAAAAATACATACAAGCTGCCCAGCAGACTACCGGGGAAATATCTAACTACCCTAACACTGCCCTGGCCTAGATTCAGCTCTTCAAATCAGCTCCTTTTGGTTCGTTGCCTCTGTTTCTTCCAGGCAGGAAAAGGCGCCCACTCTGCAGGCCACGCCTGCATGGACAGGGGTGAGGGCACAGTGTCAGAAGACGAAGCAGAGAGATGCAGCCACCGGTCATCCCGGGGAACACAGGCCGATGACTCACTCCCTCTTCCAGAGAACCACAGTTTGGAATAAAAGAAAAAGGACAATTGAAGAAAAGTAAATAGGAGAGAGGCCAGAAGCTACCTTCCACAGCTCCATTTCTTAGAGGTCAAACTCAAGTGAGGGGCACTAATTCAAGAATTTCATTCACTCAATAAATGTTTATTGATCACTTACTCTGTGCCAGGCACTGTGCCCAGGGCTGACCAGGGGACAAAGGACACAGACCCAGGTGAAGCGGGAAGGCACAGCTGAGGGGCGTGATGCGCCTCCCCGAAGAGGAGGCCAGGTGCCGGGGAGCACTGAAGGAGGCCCTGAACCAGCTAAGGAGGGGAGGCCCCCCGCCTCCGGCTAGACCGCAGGCGTCGCTGAGGCCAGACTATTTCTTCCGTCACACACTTGCGAAGAATGTGTCAAATCCTGGGTTTCAAGTGTTTTTAAAGCAGCAGAATTCTTTCTTCAAACAAGACCTCCCCTGGCGGCCCAGGAGGAAAGCAGGAAATGGACAGGGGCTGTGGGGCAGCGGGTGGGAGCCTGAGGCCAACGGACCTCCCTGTCCTCCCCCTTCTGTGGCCTGCAGGTGCCGCCAGCCTACCGAGCCCCTCCCTCCATTGACAAAGGGGAATGAGGCCCAACGGGTTAGGGAAACCTGCTCACTTCTTTTATATCCCCCTGAGCACTGAACAGGGGTACCTGTGACGCATGGATGTGGCGTCCGTGTGGATACCTGACGGGAAGCACGGGGTATAGTAAAAAGAACATGGACCTTGCTGTCAGAGGTGACAAGGTTCAGGTGCTGGAGATGACATTTAATAAGCCTGGGTCCTTACTCCTGGCCACCTAACCTCTCTAAGCCTCGGTGACTTCATCTGAACAGTGAGAACAGCACTTCCTTCCCAGCATTCTCAAAAGCATGAAATATGTTTCAAGTAATCATACATAACAATCCCCATCGTCTTAGTTTAAAGAGTGCTACTGACTGAGGACTCACTGGCTCTGCCGTAAGCACGGAGCCCAAAGGCTGGCGCTGGCTTGCGGAATCGGTGCCCTTCCCTGTTGGCACATCAGCTCTCCCGTCCCTCCTCCTCCCCCCAGTGGTCAGGCACGTACCTCTGGGCTCCTCTGGCAGTACATGCAGCACCACTGTTTTTTTGAACACCTGGCTCTCCATCTCAAGGCGGATTTCGCAGGTATAGGTTCCCTGGTCAGCCTCTTCCACGTCTTGGAGCAGGAGAGAACCGTCGTTGTGTGAGATGTGCCCCACCAAGTGCACACGGCTCTGGAAGCGCCCCACAGGCACGCTGAGGTTGGCGTAATAGTACAGGACGTAATCATCCTGGAGGGCGACATGACATCGGGGAACCTGGAGTCAGGGGCAAGACCCAGGAGTATGGATGCAAAGGCCCTGCTCTGTGGAGGCAGCACAGCCATCTGCACATGATCAAAAAGACCTTTTAATACTAAAAACGTCCCAGGCAGTAATCTACTGAAGCGACTCTAGGCTCTGTGGTCTTTTATACAAAGGCAGGTGGAGAAGTAAGGCCCACACATTTTCATCTCTGACAGTTCAAGGCAAAATGTAGCTCCTACTCTGAAGCTCACTCTGGGGTTCAAACTCGCAGCTTCTGAAAACCAGCCCCATCTTCACGCCGTCTTCTGCCGCGGCCGCAGGGTTAGCTGGCAGGCGGAGGCCGCGTGCACCCTGCCCTGCTGCCACTCCTGCGCCCTCCTCCAGGCAGCTCACGAGGCCGAGGAGTCGTCAGCAGGAAGTGGTTCACAGGCTGGGAGGGGAGCCTGGGGGATTCTTATCTCTACTCACACCATGGGAATGTCCCTCTCAGGATAACAAATAGTAATAAAAACTTGAGAGCAGCATTCTAGGAATAACATGTTCTGAGCTACAGAAATAATATTTCACTCGCCAACATTGGGAGCTTGTTGTTAATAACATACTTAGGACATATTTCACAAATGGTACTACATATAAGTGTCTCCACAAAGTCTCTGTTTCCTGCTCTGAAGAGCTCCCAGGAAGCATCCGCACTGACTATGCTGCACCAGCTAATCCCCTGATTCTCCAGCACACAAATGAGGCAGTAGATGCTGAAAACACTAGTCCTGTGACTTCACTCTTATGCCTCGGCCACAACCCTTCTGCCTAGACCAGTGCTCTCTCACCATCTCACTCCCCTCGCCCCCACGCACCTAGGCTACTCTACAAAGGGCAGAAATTGAGACAACAAACTAAAAGAATTTTATGTGCATGTCTCCCACTAGCTTCTAAATGGCCTGGGAAGTTACGTATTGCCATTATTACATCACCTTCACTTGCACAGATGGAGAGGTGGAAGCTCAGCGAGTTGAATAACTTGCCCCGCTGACCACAGTCAAGAGTCCAGGCCGAGAAGAATGCTGACAAGCTCCAGAGCCCAAGCTCTTGCAACACTCACCTCATGCACCAGAGGACCTGATTCTCCCTCTTCCCACACTGTCCGAACACAATCGGCCAGGGACTTCTCCTACACTGCACTAAGTCCTTGTTACCTTGGTGTGCTCCCCTGATGAGAACATCCAGTCGACCTTGGTCACACGTTTCTCTTCTGTGCTCTGGAAAACACATCCCAGCAGGGCTGAGTCACCCACGTGGACTGTCAGCTCAAGGGAGGAAACAATCAAGTCATTCAGGCCCAAGAAATAACCTACAGAAGTCAAAGGCAAGAGGAGACATCACTTAGACAAATGGCCTCAACAACAAAAATCAGTATTAATCAAGTAGCATACACCTTCCCTCCCCAGATGACCGATACAGACAAAGTATTCAAAGGCCCCTCACTAAGACCAGCATGGCCTTCCCAAGAGAAGAAAAACACCCTCTAGTTGCCCACATGGCTCAGGTTCTGTGACCTTCACACAACATAGATGCTAACTGCTCCCATTCTCCTATGTAGTCCCCTCCCCTTTTCCAGAATCCCTCCTCCACATCTCCTTTCTAAAGAAAGAAGAGAACCCATGAAATCCCTCCTTTCAGGTCATGTTTTTAAACTCCCATAAATGGGAATGGGGATGTCACTTGTTCTTGGTTTATCACTGGTTCCCTACCTGAAAAAACAATTCACAGGCATGTCTGCTTCCTTCCTCTTTTCCCTTTCTTTGGTTCTTTACAAACCCTTTTCTCTGAATTTGCAGGCTGATTCTGGCTGTAGAGCAGGTCCTTGTAAGTAGGCCAATACAGAGCACAGCCCCTCCCAAGAATTTCCTTTGTGTTTGCCTTCTTCCCACATCCCACACCCCCAGCTTTGCCAACAGCCCTGGCTTTTCAGCCTCGAGGTGTCTGCGCACGTGGTGCCACTCCACTATCGCTGTACCTGCTCAAGCAATTTCTCTTTTCACTAAAAGAGAAACCATTACATGGATATGTCTGTTTTCAGAAGATATGCTCTGTGTTCACAAGAAAGAAACAACAACATCAAGAAAGACACATTTAGAGGCTGATGGTTGACAGATGGGAGGGGGTTGGGGGGCTGGGTGAAAAAGGAGACAGATTGAAAAGTACAAAGTGGCAGTTACAGAAGAGTCACAGGGATGGAAAGGACAGCACAGGGAATATAGTCAATAATGTTGTGGTAACTATGTATGGTGCCAGATGGGTACTGGGAATATCGGAGAGAAGATATTTCTAGAATATATGATTGACCACTATTCTGTAAACTGTAATTGAAAAATAAAATTTAAATTAAAAAGAAAAAGAAAGACATGTTTAGATAGTGGCCAGTTTCTATCAGAGAAGAGCCAGCACATGGGAAAACAAATGATGAGCCGTCTCTTCCCGGGCGCCGTCGCCCCGAGAGCGAGCGCTGACGCCCTGCCCAGCGGCAGGCACTCAGCAGGAAGGACGGAACAGGACACATGGACTCTGGGCCCTCTGCAGGGGATTGTCTTGAAAGAAATCAAAATGAGCTAAAAAAACAATTTGGAATTTTCCTGTCAGGAAGAACTGAGCAAACTTACATGTGGGTAAAGGTGTAAGAAGCTAATGTAACTTAACAGGAAGCGTGCTGTATGTAGAATAAGCTGAAGGCTGTTAGAAAGCAGAGAGAAACGGACCTGATGGGCCGAAGAAAGGAGACTTTCTAAAAGGGGAACCTCTCCGTGAGGTACAGACCTGGGCGCCAGCAGGCCCCCGCTGGCTGGATTGTTAACTCTGCAGGCTGCTGCACAGACCTCTGGGAAATGACTAAATAACCTCTGAAATGACTTAAAAATCCATGAGAAAAGTTCTCATACATTTCCATGCATGTGTGAGTGTGCATGCGCATGCGTGTGTGCGCACACAGTGTGTGTGTGTGTGTGTGTGCATGTGCATGCTCTATGTTGCCCAGAACTAGAGCAAAGGCAATTCTTTTGTGTACTCTGCTGAGTCAGTGTTTAGGTCACCATCACAGTGAAGAAAACTAATAGAGAGAAAAAGAAAAGGCTGTGAGATATGTCTGTGGCATAAGAAAGGGGAAAGTGTTGCGACAGTGAGAAGTGAGGATGAGCAGTGAGCACCCAGCAGCAGCCCTGGGCACCCAGGTTCCTGTGAACAGGAGGCTCCAGCCTGGTCGGTGGCTGCAGCCAGAGCAGCGTGTTAGAAGGACTTGGAGCGTAAGGGGAAGTCCGGGAGACAGGGAGCCTTAGGCAGGCGTGCTAGGGAAGGTGGGGAGGGAAGGCTCCAGGCAAAAGACATCACCCCAAGTCAGGAAAGGGCGCAGGGCAGTGGAGAAGCCACACGAAGGCTGGCATGGCCATGGCGGGAGACAATGACAAAGACGCTGGGACTTTCTTTGGTAATTTCTTCTCCTGATCTGACACTAATGAGTTTAAAGATGACAATTTAAAGTGCAGGAATGCCGGGGGAGGTTTTCTCTGTATCACATAGGAGGGTCCTAGAACACCCAGTGAGGACCCAAAGGCGTTTCTCCTAGAAAGAGGAAGATTGCATGGCTTCTAAAACTGCTGTTTCCACCCAACTATGAAGTTCCAGGTTAGGGTTTCCATTTGCAACAATCCAAGGGGAAATGAAAATACCCAAAACTGGGTTTTGAGAATGCAGAGACTTATGGGAAATCACATCTTGCCCATGCCCATGGCTGTGTGGTCCCTTGGCTTCTACTCACCCAGGAACGCTGGCATCAGGATCCGTTTCAGGAGGCAAAACATGCTGCTCTCAACTTTCAACCTTAAGATAAAAATTTTAAAAATCAGAAAATTGTTTCAAGAGAAGTTCATTAATTTGACAAACCAATAGCGAGTTCCTCCGTGGGACAGCCTCTGTCAGAGGCTCTGGGACGCAGCAGTGACCAAGACAGACAAGGCCACTGCTCATATGCAGCTTGTGTGCATGGGAGACAGAGGGGGAAAGAAGTGAATGAACGAATAGAATAGCAGGTGCTGGTAACTGCTACGATGAAGCAAAGCTGCAGTGAAGAGTCCCTGGGGCTAGATAAGCTGTGAGGAAGATGAGATGAAAGCTGCTTTTCAAGAGAAAAGCACAAGATTTCAGAACATCCCTGAGATGACAACCTAGACGGTCCACAACCTGTGTTTCACCCAAACGAATACAGGACATGCAGCCTGAAAGCAAAATTACTACTTTTAAATATGAAGACTATCCAGGACATGTGGGAAGGACACAGACAAATAAGGGGATAACTTAACTCAGTTCAGGCATTCACCAAGCTCTAGGACAGAGAAGCCACATGAAAGTTTTCCATTTTCTTTTTTAAGTTCTTTAGAAGCACAGCAGGTGCAGAATAAGAATAGGGCAGCCCTGGCCAGGTGGCTCGGCTGGTTGGAGTGTCATCCCATAAACCAAAAGGTCGCAGGTTCAATGCCCAGCAGGGTACATGCCTAGGTTGCAGGTTTGATCATGCTCGGGGCATGTGCAGGAGGCACCCGGTTATTTCTCTCTCCCCTTCTTCTTCCCTCTCTGAAATCAATAAACACATTTTAAAAAAGAATTAGCCAAAGTATTTTTTAAATGTCTGTGTTATCTCTGTGGTATTAATTTCACTGCATCCACCAGCTCCTGGGAAGGAAATTGCTGTTTTACACTGTGCCCCAGAATTTTCTTAGGGAAACAGAAGGACTTAACTCCAAAGAGTTACACTTCAAACAGCCTTGCGCTCCTACCTACTACCAGCCACGATGCCGGCACCTCTAACTCTGGCCACTGGAGGCATCCCCTCAGAACCTGCTGGGAGGAGTGGCCTTTTCCATGCATCAACATCACAGCACTCCGCCCAGCTCTGGTGGGAAGTCCAGCACTTATGCTGGCCATTTTAATTTAAAGAAATGACTTCCTAAAAGAGTCCTTACATGTATTCTAATCAATAAAATCCTCCATTTGGAAAATCAGGGCGAACTTTCAAGAAGGCCCTACCCTCGGTCCCAGCGTATGCAGAGAAGTCATTTCACCCTGCTGCACCTCAGTTTCTCACTTATAACATGAGGACAGTAATGCAAGGATCACATATGATAATGTTGGTAACAGTGTTGGAAAACATAAAGCATTACCACATCAGATCCTATTTTGTATAACCTAAAAGTCAAAGAGGAAATAGAGTGTGTAGCTTTCAGGGAAAGAGTATGGGTTCAGAGCACCTACCTTTGTAAGAATGGCAAGTAATTAATCAGAACAAACTGGCAAGTTATAAGTTTCCATTTCTGAATCCCATCACAACAGTGTAGGTAATTACTACACTGACTCAGATATACCAGAAGTAACAGTGAGTTTCCCCCGAGCATAAGTGTATCTCATGGAAACACAGACCTCTCTCAAGATCGCCAGAGCCCTATTCCTGCTCCCTGGCACCCACCTCCCCTACACTACATGGCTGAGCCTGATAAAGGGGTCCCTTTAGAGCATGTCATACCTGCAACCTCTAAGATCCCTGCCAAGTTCTGGATGAACCCTTCTCCAGGGAGTTAGTTGGCTGTGCTCCCTCCTCTGCCCAGCAAACAGCTCTTGTACATTCTCCAAAGCAGTGCACCATTTGCATGGAGAAGTAACACTTGATTTACATGTCTAACACCAAACCACATTAAGTCTCACTCATGAGGGCAGAGCCACACGTGTCTTATTTAGGAGGGTCCCATGCCGGTGCTACAGTACCAGTAAAGTGCCAGGCACATAACGGGTAAGTGCGGACAGCTAGCTGCCAAAAGGGCCATCAAATTGAAATCGACTTAGATATCCTGTGACTGCACCGCTCTAAGAGGAAACCAGCAACCCCCAAAAGACCCTTAATCTGATCACCAAACTCAAGCCACTCAGAGCCACACCCAAGCCATTTTCAAACAAATTCTAAGAATGTGAAAAAAATATGATGAATAAAAGATACCCACTTTCAGTCCTAAACACTTGAATGTTCCACTAGAACTGTGTAAATGAACAGAGAAACAATGATTTAATGGGGAAAAAAAAAAGCGCTAATTGAATTTTTTAAAAATTATCTTCCCGGGTCAGACTTTCCATTAACTAATTCTTTGATCTTTGGAAATCACTCAATCTACCTAGGTCCCTTCTTAACATTAAAGGATCGGACTCCTTTATTCCCCTAGTTAATAAAGCACCACACAAGAAATCACTAGTTGATAAGCAATAAACCAGAGACAGTTATATGCCAGGTACTTAATTCTCACAACAACCCTTTGAGGGTTTACAGGTGAGAAAACTAAGACAGACTGGCAAGTGACTTGCCTAATAACAGATACCAAGGGGTAGAGCCAGGATTCAAACGAAGGCCGTCTGGGCCAGAGCCGTCTCCTCACTGCAGTGCGCTGCACCCCCATGTCTGTGAAAGAACCAAAGTTTCAGGGCAAAGCTCCTCTGAACTTTTTCTCTCAAAACAAGATTAATCTGCTCCTCCTGCTTAAATGCAGTTCCCACCCTCTTCACCTAGTTAACTCCGGTTCATCATTCAGATCTCAAGTTAAATGTCCTTTCCTCAGAGAAACCCTCCTGAACCGCCCTTCCTAGGTCAGAAGCCCAGGCCCATGTTTTAACAGTGCCATTGTTGATCTTTCCCTTAGGGCATGTGTCACAATTTCCAATTATCTATTTACATGTGTGATGTCTGATTAAAGTCTTGCACTCCACCTTCCCCATCCAAGACTATGAGTTCCATAAGGCCAATCACCACAATCAGGCCCCCACAATCACCACACTATTGTCAGTGTCCTTGAGTTCTTTCTGTTTTCGTTTTTGCTCAGTCCCTCTACACCCCCTGCACTCCCTCCACCTCCTCAAGAGCTGTCAGCCTGCTATCTATGAGTCTCTGATTTGCATGTTAGTTCATTTTGTCAATTAGATGCCACATATGAGTGAAATCATATGGTACTTGTTTTTCTCTGACTGGCTTATTTCACTTAGCATAATGCTACTCTCCAGGTCCATCTATATTGTCATAAAGGGTAAATTTTTCTTCTTTTTTAATGGCTGAGTAGTATTCCGTTGTGCAAATGTACCACAGCTGTTTTATCCACTCATCTACTGATGGACACTTGGGCTGTTCCCAGAGCTTGGCTACTGTAAATAACACTGCAATGAACATAGGGGTGCATTTTAAATTAGTGTTTTGGGTTTCGTGGGATATATAACCAGAAGTGGAATCGCTGGGTCATAAGGCAGCTCTGTTTTTAATTTTTTGAGGAAACTCCATACTGCTTCCACAGTGGCTGCACCAGTCTGCATTCCCACCAGCAAGTGCATGAGGGCCCCCTTTCTCCACACCTCACTGGCATTTGTTGTTTGTTGACTTATTGATGGTGGCCATTCTGGCAGGTGTGAAGTGGTATTTCACTGTGGTTTTGTTTTGTATTTTTCCAAATACAAATACAATATCTTTTCATATGTCTATTGGCATCTGTATGTCCTCTTTGGAGAAGTATCTATTCAGGTCCATTGCCCATTTTTTTAATTGGATTGTTTATTTGGTGTTGAATTTTATAAGTTCTTTATAAATTTTAGATATTAACTCCTTATCAGATGTATTGGAATATGTTCTCCCATTCAGTGGGTTGTGTTTTCATTTTGTTGATGGTTTCCTTTTCTGCGCAAAAACTTCTTAGTTTGATGTACTCCCATTTGTTTATTTTTTATGTGTTTCCCTTGCCTGAGATGTACCAGAAAAAATATTGCTACAAGAAATGTCTGAGATTTTACTGCCTGTGTTTTCTTCTAGGATTTTTATGGTTTTGAGACTAACACTTAAGTATTCATTTCATTTTGAGTTTATTCTTGTGTGTGGTATAAGAAGGTAGTATAATTTCATTTTTTTGCATACATCTGTCCAATTTTCCCAATACACTTCACTAAACAGACTATCTTTAGCCCATTGTATGTTTTGCCTCCTTTGTCAAATATTGACCATATAGGCGTGGGTTTTGTTCTGGGCTCTCTATTCTGTTCCATTGATCTATATGTCTGTTTTTATGCCAGTACCATGCTGTTTTGATTACTATGGCCTTGTAGTAGAGTTTGATATCAGGTAGTGCGAGTCCTCCAACTTTGTTCTTTCTCAAGATTGCTGTTGCTATTCAGGGTCTTTTGTGGTCCATATAAATTTTGGAATATTTGTTTTAGTTCTGTGAAATACGCCATTGGTATCTTGATAGGAATTGCATTGAATCTGTAGATTACTTTGGGTCGTGTGGACATTTTAATAATGTTAATTCTTTCTATCCATGAACATGGTATATGCTTCCACTTATTTGTATTTTCTTCAATTTCTTTTTCCAGTGTCTTAAATTTTCTGAGTACAGGTCTTTTACATCCCTGGTTAAATTCATTCCTAGGTATTTTATTCTTTTTGAAGCAACTGTGAATGGAATTGTTTACTTAGTTTCCCTTTCTGATAGTTCAATTTTTGGTGTTATAAAAATGCAACTAACTTCTGGATATTTATTTTGTATCCTGTTACTTTACTGAATTCACTTATTCTAGTAGGTCTTTGGTGGAATCTTTGGGGTTCTCTGTATACAGTATCATGTCATCTGCAAATAATGACAGTTTTACTTCTTCCTTTCCAAGCTGGATGCCTTTTATTTCTTCGTCTTGTCTGATTGCTGTGGCTAGGACTTTCAGTACTATGGTGAATAAGAGTGGTGAAAGTGGATACCCCCGTCTTATTCCTATTCTTAAAGGAAACACTTTTAGATTTTTCCCCATTGAGTATG